GGGATTAGGAAAGATGCTGGTATGCTTCCAGGAGGGAGAGTGTGCTGGGTTCTGGTCTTGAGGATATTTATCTGGAGGTCTCAAGGGAGGATCCCAATAGAATATTCATCAGCTTTCCAGGTGTGTCCTTTCATGGTCGTGGGCTCCACTGATTAGTGGGCACCAGGGCAGGGGGTCATTATTCTATGCAGCTGGTCCTGAGGTCAGCCAAGGTGTCTCTTGTCTGGTTTTGCTGCACTTCTGGGCCTGGAGCTGAAACACAACTGAGGCCTAGATGTACTTGATGAGGGTCAGAACCTCATTGACCTGGGGGCTTAGTGCTTAAGGGCTATTCTTCGGCCCCTTTGTTTGTTCCCCCTCTAACCTGCATGCCTAGCAATATTCTTGGGGAGAAAAGGTTACTCCAGGGACGAGGTCCTCGTTTTCCCAGTTTTGCCCCTTGCTAGTCACCTGGGGTTTTCCACCCTGGTGACCTTCTGTACCTGGCCTGTAACTGCAGGCCACACCTCCACCGTTACCTCTGAATTTTAAACAATTTTTCCAATGTATATCAGTCAACCAATCAGTATCTTTTTAGCATCCAGTAAGGGAAGACACAGGACACAGGCACTGTGAGGGGAAAATAATGAATTCACAACATCCTTCCCCAAATGAACTTTCTATCCAGCGAGGGGAGTAGGGTTGTAACAGACACATGCAGAGACCAGTAATGCAAAGCATTCCGTGAGTGCCCGGGGGTGGGGGCTTCTCGAAGTTGAGGGGAGCAACTCTATTCACTTTCCAGAAGGGGAGAAACTTCTCAATTGGATATATTTCCTTTTCTCTCTTCCTTTCCCACTGGCCTTCTGTCTCCTCTCCTTTGCTCTTTTCCTTCCCTCCCTCCCTGTCACCCTTCCTTCTCCCTTCTTTAAACAAAATTATATATATATATAATAATAAAAATGTGGAGGGGGGAGAACATTACAGAAAATATTCCAAAAAAGAGGAAAGTGTGAGCAAACAGGGCAAGAAGGAGCGGAGAGTTTCAGTACTAAAGATATTGAGAAGTCCTATTAAGCCCATCTCACCCAGTAGGGGCCTTCGTCTATGTCTAGGAACCTCCCGCCTAGATGAGTTTGGGTTCTTTCTGTAGCTGTAGTAACGAAGACCAACTCAGCTAAAAGAAATGGAAGAATATTGTCTCACTCAGAGAATCAAAGGGGAAGCCAGACAACCATTCCTGAGGCTCAAACTCTATAGACCACAGTATAGGTTTTTGAGAAGAAACAATGTGCTAGTGCTCAAATAGGTATGGACTATGTATTTATATCCAAATAAAAATATTTTTAATAAAATATTAGTTCACAAATTTTGTGATGATGTTGTGCAATGACGATGGAAAATAAGATATTGAGAAATTGAGATACTGAGCATATTATTTACCAATAACTCTCACAAGGTGATCTTTCACAAAGGCAGTCTTAAGCTTTCTTTTTAATTTATAGTTTTTAAATTCTAAAAGTAAAAACATCACAAATTCCAAAAATTTAGAAGATAAAAATTATCTATAATTTCACCATTTTAACAAAACCACTATTATCATCTTACTATTTTTTCTTATTCACCTTTTTCTGCTGATTTTTCTTAGATAAAGTCCAAGAAATGGAATTATTTAAAGGTTAACATTTTCTTTTTCTTGATATATATTGCCAAATTTGATAGCAGTAATGTCTGATGTATCAGTTTCTCATATCCTAACTAGCATTTCAATTTTAAAAACTTTACTAATAAATAAAAAAATTTATCTTACTGTTATAACTTGTATGTTTTTTATTATTGGAGAGCATGAACATTTTTCCAAGTTTGCTTACTAACTGAATTTCTTTTTTGTGCATTTTATTTAATATAGCGGATAAGATTTGCCAGTGTTCGGATTAGATCAGCGCATCAGAGTCTCAAACCTGCCAACAGTGAGAGAGAAAAATACTAAGGAAAATAACTAGAAAGATGGGGGAAAACAACTACCCAGTCATTTCCAATCACGTAAATATTTGTTAGGTGTCCTAGCTGCACGTAGGTAGCTTGCTAAAACATGAGTTCTAATTTTATAGGGTGAAATATACTTCTAGAACCCTCTTTTGGAATTCTCATCAAGTAATCTAGCTTCCTGAGGGCTTGACTTCCCTGATTGGCTTGCAGAAGTGTTTTATTTCCATATTCCAAATTATCACAGCTGCCAGTGCTGGAATCAAGTTATAGACTGTAACAGAATGTCTTGCACATCCACAGCATTCAACAGGCATTTGTTGATTGGCTATTTACATGGTCATCGTGAAAGGCACACTTAAAAGACTCACTGAATAAAGGTCATGCCAACAAAAGGTCACTGCCACCAATTCATTGCCAACAGGAGCCCCCAATCTGAGGTGCAGTAAAAGGAGAAACTTTATTCAGGTGAACAGTTTTTGAACGAGAGACATCCAGTCTCAGGTGGAAACTGAAAGTGTACTCCTCAGACATAAAGGGGAGGCCTGCTTATATAGTGAAAGTGCCAAGCATGTCTCTTCCCAAATGACATGGAGACACCCCACTGCCACTCACCTTATCCAAACAGCACAACCACAACACAGGAGGGCCATCATTCCCAAAGGAGATACAGGTGACTTTTTAAAACTATTATGTGGGTGGGTTGGAGACTGTGCCAGGGGAGGGGTAGAATGCATCTACATTGACCTAGGAAAGGGCAACCTAGTGTTGTGATGGGTTAAGTAGATTGAAAATATCTGCTGTCCTGTAACCCTGTTGCCTTTGTGAGCACTCTTACAACCAAACAGCAAAACATGGGTTTTCCAACTATGAGGTTTATGAACTATTCTTAGGTTTTTTCTTTTTTCCTCTCCAATTAACCTAAGTGGCAGGTATTTTGTAAATTGTCTTTGTGATTTGGTCTATGTTGTATAGGCTTTGTGCCACATAAAAGCTTGCAGCATTGTTTTTGCTGAACAGATTAGTCACAGCTGCAGATGAAAGATATTTCCTCCTCCCTGAATCTGTTTTCCTGTTACAAAAATGTTAACCTTGAATTTGAGAGGTGCACTTTAGCAGAAAGAATCCAGAAACTTGTGAGCCAGTATGGGGGTAACACTCTCTGGACTCCATTTTGGCCAAAGAGCTCCATCTCAGAGGCCTGACTATGACTCCTTGCTTCCAATAAAATTCCGTAGTAAAAATTAACCTAACCACATCCTCAAAGGAAAGAATATAACATCTTTCTTAACATCATGTTCTGCAAAATAGTTGTGCTGTCAATTAAATGATAACCAGAATGTTTACGCAAGCATTATTTACAGGCCTTTTGGGGAGGTCCACTGACCATAGAAAACATCTCGTGACTACCGGAAGATCAGCAGCTGCCCAAGGACGATCATGGGCCCACTGACCTCCTCCTCATTCCTAGGCCCTACACCCACCAAAGGCCCCTGTATTAGTCACCCACAAGGGCCCCTGGCGAAGCTCAACCTTTTTTCTGGGGGACTCCCTTGTGCACAAGCTCTTTTCAATAAACTCTATCTGCTTGATCTTGTACTGAGTTCAGTGCTCATTTCTATGACATTGAGACTCCAGAACCTGGAATTCAAGGTCCAGTAACACTTGCACAGACAATAAACTTGAGCTTACAACCCGCCCCCCCAAAAAAACCATTGACTTTATTGAATGGCATGAATAAAATCAATATTCATGATGAAATAGAGTCTAATATGTTTCAGAGAGAGCCCAAACCTTACTCTTCATAACCCCAGACGTAGCAACAAATTACTGAGCATCTACTATGTGCTCAATAAACACTTGTTGAGTCAAAAGACTGCTTGTTGTGTGTACAATACATGTATTAGTACATTTTAAACTCATTATCAAATAGTTCCCAGCCACCAGTGTTTATATTATAAACATTTCACTGAAACTGAAATTTTTGGTATTAAAAACTTGAAAATGTCTGCTTGTCATGTTAAAAAGCTGCCTTATGCCACTTGCTCCAGCTGCCGGCCTTCAGTGAGGATGGGGAGAAATGGAAATGGAAATCACCTGTTAGCATCCCCCCTCACACGTAAGAAAACAGCTCAAATAACAAGGATTTGCTTGTACATTTTACCACTACGGGGAGAAGGCTCCAAGCTCCCCTTGACCAGTGAATGAAGCGGTCGACCCCGAAACTTTCCAACTAGAGAGGCCTTTCGCAGCCAATGGACCAAGATACAGGCTTTAGGATTGCTTTCCAGGACCAACGTTCTTAACTTGTAAAATGGGCTAAATGCGACCCACCCGGGAGGCCCGCGCGCTTTCCTCCCCGGCTCGTGCGCGCCCGCGGCTCCTGGCGCACTGGGGGCGCACGGGGGGCGCACGGAGGAGCG